TTGACTACTTCCGGTTTGGCCGGACGTGACATAGCGAGCGCCAACGTGCTGCACTTCCGGAGAAAAAGATTGGTGTATGTCACATCAGCACATGTTGCTCTATCATCGCTGAAAATTTCATGCTTCTGTGTTAAGTGCTTTTTGAGAAAACTGCCGGACAAAGTGACCCTCTGAAAATCACTAAATCGCAAAAATCTCAAAACCGGAAGTGACGTCATCAAATCAAAAAATCAGGTTTGCTTGATGTTCTATCAGTCCTGAAAGTTTCATGAAAATCGATCGAGCCGTTTCCGAGAAATCGCGTGCACAAAATCGGTAAGAAAAAAACAATAATAATAAAAATAGTGGAAAAGAAACCTAAGAATAACAAGAAGGTCTTCCGCTGAAGACGGAAGACCTTAATAAAATTCATATGATAAATATCAAATAAGTCTTGATTTCTTTAAACCATACTTATTTTGAAGAAAAGTCTGTCCATCTAAAAACTTTTTTAAAACTGAATTAGGGAGTATAAGACCAGATTTTTATAATTCTTCCTCACAGTTCCTATAAGACATAGATACCTTTTCCTTGATCAGATCTGCTTTAACAAAAATGATAAAAACAGCCTTCCCAACATTAAACTTATAAGTTAATTTTAAACTTCCTGTCCAGTCAATAATCCCAAAGGATGAATGGATATACACTTTCTGCATGTTTGTAGTAAAAATTAAAAAAAACTAAAATTTATATAACTGCTGTTAAAAGCAAAGAATTTTTTTTATTTGTTAAAAGGCTTTATACAATGGGGAAAAACTATAATCTTGTCTCATCGTTGTTCTCAAAAACTTAAATTTGTAAGGAATGTACCGTCTAATTATTTCTTCATTTTATGTTTCAATCTCGCTGAACCCAATATGACTACTAAAAATGGGGAAAAACTCCTGTAAAACGAAAAATGAAATATCCAATCAGGATGAAAATACCACGTGCACTTCTTTAGATGGGGAAAAATCAGTGTACGAACTTTCACTTTAAGGTCTCCATGCAAGAACAGATCAATTCTTTGCTTAAAGAAAACATTGTAAGGGAAATGAACTTTAAACAAAACTTTTCATCAAACTAGAAAACTGACCAGTCAGCAAGGGCCCCGCCATGGGGTAGAATTATAAGGGTGCAGCTTACGGAATGATTAAAAAATGTACGAAGAATAAGCAACAGCACCTATGTTCTTAAAATTTCAAGATAACTCCAGAATAATTCCTGAATATTCAAAAACCTGTAAATAATATCCTAATGTATTTACATTAGGCATTAAAGAACAACTTAACACTGAATGTATATTTAAACAATAATGAAGCTTATCTTATATAAAATGCCAGCCTTCAATGAATGCAAATATCATGAAGACTTGACCTAACTTCAAACAAACAGCAGTAGCAGACAAAGAAAAATTGGTCTAACATATACGTCAATTCTTTTGTCATAGTGAATACATCCTTTGAACACAAAAAATTGAAATGAAAAAAAGCATTTATAATTTAAAACATAAATTAACATTTTGTTATTAGAATATTATTTAAGAAGTATAAAAACAGGGTCATTGAGCAGAAAGTTTGAACCTTAATGAATTTCAATAACCTGTTTTATCGATATCAAGCCAGTTTTTTACCCAGACATTCTACTGTGTATCAATTACTTGAAACATATCATAGTATTGTACAAAATATTGATGAAGGTAAACTATGCTGTATGTTTTTTTGCGATTTGTCTAAAGCATTTGACAGAGTATGGCACAAGGGTCTTATTTTTAAATTACAAACTTATGGTTTATCCGGAGATATCCTTAAGTGGTTTTCTAGTAAACTAAATCATAGGTCACAGAAAGTGATGTATAAGGATTTGTTGTCTTCAAAACTTGATTTATATGCAGATGTACCACAGGGCTCTGTATTGGATCCACTTTTATTTCTGATATATGTAAATGATGTTGCTGAAAATATGATGTCCATGTGTAGATTGTTTGCTGATGATAATTCGCTTCAACAATGTATATACAATATTTTAGACATTGAATACAAGCTAAACCACGATTTACACATTTTAGAATCATGGTCAGATAAATGGCTTCTAAAATTTAACCCATCTAAAACAAAGGTAGTCTTCTTTAACACAAAGACTATTTCTATTATGCCAAAATTATTTTTTAAAGGAGATAGGCTTGAATGCGTCCCAGTCCATGAACACTTGGGTTTATTATTGTCACAGAATCTCAGCTGGTCTGCATATATTGACGGTATTATAAACGACGCTTATAAAAAAAAACTTGGACTTTAAAAAAAAACTTAAGTTTACATTGAGTAGGAAAAACCTTTCAAAATTCTACACTTCATTTATTAGACCAATGCTTGAATACGCTTCTGTTGTATGGGATGGGTGCACTGAACAAGATTCTGAAAAACTGGAAAAAGTACAACTAGCTGCGGCTAGAATTGTCACCGGACTTTCTATTTTTGCATCTTCAGAAACACTTTATTTAGAAACTGGTTGGGAAACTTTAAAATTTAGGCGTTATGTTGCAAAAAATGTCTACTATGTTCAAATACATAGAGGGGTTGTCCCTGAATATTTGAACAATATTGTACCAAACAAACATGAAAATGCATCAAAATATACTCAACAAAAAAAAGAAACGCATATTGTTTTACTCGTCAAAGAAATTTTTAAAATGTACATGAAACAACTATTTTTTATATCATTGGATACCTGTGACCTATCTAAAGGCCAATACGGGGTTTTAAAACCCAAGTGTTGAATTATCTCCCTTGATTAAACATGTTTATGAAAGTAGTGTTTTTCATGATTTCTTCTAAATCAGATGTCTATTTTCATTGATATTTTGGATTTAGAGAAACTTTGAACACTTCTATTAAACCCATATTTAAGATTTGATTGCAGTGTTAATACTGCAATGCCACGCCCAAACAAAGATGAATACAAACAGGTTAACGATGATACTAAATAGAGCTACGCAACAGGAAGTTGCAACTGTATTTGAAATAAATCAATGGGCTTTGCAACCTTAAAACTAACGTCTGAAGACCACTATCTGGCCATCCACATGTAACCACAACCAGGCAGGACCGTCAGACACCCCCCCCCCCCCACCCTTCATCACCTCATGCGATTCAGAACTTGCTGTAAAAACTGCTGCTACATTTGCTGGATGAAAAAATCAGCATAAAAATGCATAAATTGTTCGCATGAGACTAAAATGAGATGATATTCCCCCACGATATCCGTACATTGGAAACCCACTACCATTGAGATTTTGCACAGTACATATTGTTATGCCCCTTGAATTTGGGGGCAATGAAAATGACCTCAACTTGACATTTCCATTTGCAACATTGATTTTTATCACAACACACTCTAAAATCGCTTAAATATTACAAGGTTTAAACTGAAAACTAAGAATTTCATATTATTCTGATTATGCGTTTCTTTTTTTGTTCAGTATACAATACCCGCAATAAAGAACAGTTTATTATTCCAAGGTGTAGATTAGAACTATTCAAAAAGTCATTTGTACCAGACGCCTTGAAACAATGGAACTTATTAAAATAGATACAAGAGAAGCCATTTCAATTAATTCCTTCCGTAAAAACTTAAGAGCTTGTACAAAAATCATTAATCCACCTACGTATTTTTCTTTTGGTAAACGCTACACAAACATACTTCATACAAAACTAAGACATAACTGAATACTGAATTATGATCTATATAAACGCAATATTATCAACAGTCCTCTTTGTTCATGTGGAAAGTATGAAGATGTTTACCATTATTTTTTTGCTTGTATAAAGTATTCAAATGCTCAATCTTTTTAACCACCAATGTATGCTTGAAGAATTAGTTACAATTGACACTAACCTGTTATTATGGGGTGATGTAGATTTGTCTGTATCAACTAATATTAATATTTTTGCTGCTGTACATAGATTTATTACTGAAACATGTAGATTTTTAATTGATTAATGTTATTAATTAACTTGCATCACTTGAAAATTATTATAAATAGTATATTTTAATGTATCATTTGCATGACATATTGTTATATTTATGGAGAGGAACTAGTAAGTTGTAAGAATTTGTTTCCAATCCATTTGAGTTGTTCAATAAAATATGTTCAAAACAAAACAATTTCCAAAGGAAAAGTATATGATACTTGTAAGCAAAATACAAACGATTTAAGCATAGCTTTCGGTCAAAAATTGGTCTAAAAAAGACAGTTCAACTGGGCAAATCTAAAAGTTAGGTTTCACATTTCTAATCTCTACAGAGAGAGAGAAAGTCTTCTACACATTATCAATGTTCATAGTCATGATTTCAAATTGTGTGTGGAGTAGAAAGTGCTGAACTCGTGCATTAATTTGTAATCCAGGTGTATTTGAATTATCAATGCAGAAAATTTTAAGACAAAATTAAGGAATCTTGGGTAATTGTTTAGAGGGAATTTTCTTTTCTTGTAAATACTGTAAATCACAAAATTTTAGCGACACCTTATTTTCACGAGATAGTCATTGACTCTTGATTAGCGAGACAAAATTTTCGCGAGTTGTGGTTATTGCTTTATATATTCTTAAGGAATACTATTATACGCGAGAATTAAATTTTCGCGAGCACACTGTCTCGCGTAATTACGCAAAAATAAAGTTCTCGCGAATAAAAAGTGATTTACATTACATATAATGCTCCCCCCCCCCAAAAAAAAAAATCTTAAATGCAATATTGTACATCAAATTTAACATTTAGAGGAAATTCATATACATAAACGAACGCCATGCAATAATTCTCTTGCATGCAATAAAAGATAAATGGCGCCGCATGCTAGCAATATCAAATAAACTAAAATGAACAAAATACCATGTGTTACTTATATTGATTTTTAATTATATTTAAGTTTTTATATATGTTAGCGAAGTATCAGTCACGCAAACATACATTTGTTTTACGCAGAAAATGATTGGCTTTTGTCTCCCGCTAGTTTTCTTAGTGGCTTCATGCTTGAGTATAATTCATGGTCATGACGGTAAGTGTTTGAGAAAACGACAAAATTTAAAAGAAAAAAAAATCATTTTTTTTACATGATAGGAATATTAGACTCGAATTTAGCTCTTTGGAAATTAATGCAATTACATAGAATTATTGTCATATGAATGAAATTCAAGCTAATTTGTAATTTTTTCAACCTAGGATTACTAATCTGTAGATATAGAATAAAAATGTTTCTTTGAAAAACGAGAAAGTTGGTTGTCTAAGATTTTTTCGCCTATAGGATCATGCTTTTGTGTAGGAGTTTGACAGGTGAATGTAATTTATCGAAATTTGTTTTATCGTATTTCTGTTTTTTTTAATAGTAGGGTCACAAAAGTGCATGTTATAATTTTAATCAAATGTCTGCATTTAAACAACAAATTCTAGGTCAATTTACTTCTAAAGATTAAAAAACCATTCTATTCAGGTATTACTTGTGGAAATGGTTGGGCTGCCTTTGAAAAACATTGCTATTATTTCTCATCTTCTGCGTCAACATTTAAAGATGCCATGGTAAAAAAGAATTCCATACACTACTCTCTACTCTTTAAATCACATTTTAGTTGAAAACATTTATATGCTTTAGTGTATTTTTTAATTTTTTGATACCCTGGATTTTATTTTAGCTTTAAATATATTACCTGAATATAGAGATGAAATGTCAAGCACATTTTCAAATCGAATGTGCTAATATGTTTAAATCTGAAGCATATTTCATAGATATCATGTTAAATTTTATCCTTTTTTCTTTTTTTATTTAATCAACATATTAAAACCTAACTGTGTCATGGCAAAACATACCAATAACTGTACCTGATTTGGATTGTTTTCTGAAAATGTCTAATAATTTTTTTAGTATAAACAATTTATTTTACGTAAATTTTTGGTGTATAGTTGACGTGTTATCGCCTTGGTGCTAATATGTTAGAACTTCAGAGTGCAGAGGAAGAAAAATGGATTGATCTACAATGCCGAATAAGGGGTAAATATCAAAGCTTACACTTCAGCAACTTTTGGCAACTATGAAATATTCACGAATGTTTCAAAAGATATCAAGAGTTTTTCATTAAAAAATGGTCTAAAGCTAGTAAAGCGGAATCCACTACATAAACATAAATTCATGCGTCATCTTTTGCAACTTTTATGCATATGTCACTTGCATAAAAAAGTTTGATAATCTTTTAAAAGAAACATGCTTGGGTGAATTAAATTTGGTAAAAAGAGCATATTTATTGAGAAAATCTTGTTACTTGTTCTCCATATATATATATATATATATATATATATATATATATATATATATATATATATATATATATATATATATATATATATATATATATATATATATATATATACATCTCGTATTTAGTTTAAGCAGAAATGTTTTAAATTTATTTTTCCATTTGCTGTGCTTACAAATTCTTAACTTTAATAATTTTAATGATTTTTGAAAAATTGAATCTCAATTGTCGAAACATAAATCGCGTTTTTGTTTTCATAGGTTAAATATAGTAATCTATACTAGATTCTTTTAAATAATGAAGTTAATTCTAAATACCATTAGACAGTTTCAAGTGATTACCTTACTTATGTTATATTTAATTTATAAATATGATATTCTTTCTATTTAACAAAAACAATGGAAGAGCCTTGTTTACATTATGGAGGTTTTCAAAAATCAATTGAAACTATGTCCATTGCCCTTTAAAGTGACACAAATCAGTCAAGGTCATTTTCTATTAAAATATATGTAGCATACAGAGAAATACTTATGAAAATTTCTAGTATGTAGCGAAGATATGTTATTTAAGGTCTTCAATCCCTAATAGGAAGAAATTCAATGAAATTGAAAACATAATTAAGAGATATGTAGGCATTGAATATTCAGTTTATTTAGACATACTTTCCATTTATTACTATTAGTATGTTTAGTGGGATGTGTCATAATCCATGACATTGAAATGTGGTAAGAGTAATCTCCCCTTTTTTAATTAATTGAAAAAAAAATCAATTAAAGATATTAGCCGGCAAAAAAAAATTGTTTTCAATTATCATTCTATTTTTAATATTTTAATGCATCTTTCCTACACAGGATTTAATGATATTCAAATTATTTGAATTTTTTAATTTAAAAAAAAAACCCTTTTCCCCATAGACTTCAATGCAATCTTTGTTAATTAACAACTGCTTAATTAATGAACTTTTCGAAAATTTCTCGTGGGCAATTTTTTTTACTATAAAATGCTTTAATAAAATATCAGAGTATTGTGTACTTGACAGATATTTAAGGGTAGAGGATTTGGTCCCATTAGGGATTGAAATCCTTAAACTGCACTGTAAAGCAAGAGAAGAGAAAGATGTGGAAATTACGAACAGTATTCAATCTCAACGTCCATTAAACAAATATACAAAATAAGAGCAGAGCAAACACGGACCTCCGAAACATCAGAGGTGGGATCAGGTGCCATGGAGGAGTGAGCATCCCCTGCCGACCGGTCACACCCGCCGTGTGCTCGTAGTCATAATCAGGAAATAACGGAAAAATCCGTGGTCAATTCAGTGTATAAATAATGGACTAACAATTGGTATGAAGAACGTCAGTCAGCATTTCATTCAATGATAAATTGTATTTGCTGACAAGGTCATTGTATCGACCATAAAATTTACGAAATGATGACTTTAAACGAGACTGTTGATATTCTTGTTTCATCAACTTGCTTGTCAATAATTTACCTCGTTTAAGAAATTGTTCATACGTAGAGCATGCTCTTGCGTATCGAATCAACTGAGATATAAATACTCCGTATGCAGGTGATGAAGGTATATTGCTGCATAAGTAAGGGAAGTTGACGATAGAAAAGTTAAAGTCATCACGTTTATCATAAAGCTTGGTTGTTAGATTACCATTAGTGTCTTTTCCAAGTAAAATATCCAAGTATGAAGCAGAAGTGTCGGACTCTGTGGTATCTTTTATCTCAAGCTCACCAGGATATATCGTGTCGACGTAGGAATGGAAATTATCATTATTAATTGACAATACGTCGTCGATATATCTAAATGTCGAGTTGAAGGCCACAGCAAGTGTTTTCTTCTTTTCACGTAAGACTGCTCAATATAAGTTAGAGAAAAAACAAAGGTTGAATCTACCATTTGATTGTTTCGTCACACCACTTTTATTTTAGCTCAAACTTTTTAAAGCATTCAACTGGAGCATTCAAAGCTAGGAAATATATTCTAACAACTTTTTAGAAACATTGCATTAAAGTTTTAGGTTTCCTTACATTAACTTCTAAATATGAATTCAATGGAAACTATGGTATTTTCTTTCTGCTTTTCTTTGCCCGTGTACAGTAGGAAGGATGAAGTCATTTTTTTTTAAAGATCATACTTAAATTGTTTTTATTTTTTTCTCGATGAAAAGATTTTTTTAGGTTTTGAAACCTATACCTTTCTTAAATTTAAGAATTTTAAGATAGAACAAATTTACTTGGTTCATGCCTAAATTCTACCTTTGTCAATTTTTCCCTATGTGCCTCATGATTTCTTTTTGAACATTCTCGAATTTTGGAAACTTAATAAAATCAATGTTTAGAAATGAAAGAAAATATTGTCATCTATCTTGAAAATACATGTAACTGTAGACATTCGGATATCTTTATTGATAGAATTCGAATGATAAAAAAAGAAAAGTCTTATATTAGGAACCAAAATAGGTTGTACAAATCTATACATCGGAAGGAGATAAAGTAATTTCAAAAATATATTTAAAATACCTTATGGTTCTTTTCTTTTTATTCACTTCCGAATTCGAAAGTGTTCAACATGGGATGAAATTACACCATTCAGTTGACGGAATGGTAACCGAGTGCCCACTGAATGGTCACTAAAAGGTAGCGGAAAGGTCACTGAAAGTCGACGAAAACTGTGTCCGCTGAATGGTGACTGGAAGGTACCTGAAATGTGACTGAAAATTCACTGAAATGTATGTGCCATTCAGTGGCTAAATGGCCACTGAAAAGTCACTGAAAACCGCCTTTCAGTTTTATCTGGAAGGTCTTGTTTCGATTATTACTCTACTAAATACTTATATAAACATTGAAAAACAAAGAAGAAAGAAAGATGTATTTGGGGAACATTGACACCCCCGTATTGCAGCTAATGGCGAAAGCTAAAATGCATGTCAAGCTCCAAAGGTCAAGGCCAAAGTGTTTGTATACAGAGGAATGTCTTGGCACAAGGAATACACATGTGAAATATGAAATCCTTAATATTAACTTTTCAAAAGTAGAGACAAAAGTTACAGGTTTAAAGAAAGGTTGGTCAACTTTAAGGTCAGGATAAAACATATCTATTTAAGCAGAAAGGTATTGTCACAATAAAACACATCTTTCGATGAGGGGGCATACACATGCAATAAGGAAATGTGTATTTTACTAGACAATAAAAAAGATAGCTTCATTCCGGTATACTAATCCATTGTTAAGAAAACATTTTAAACACAATATTAATGGAAATTTTTATTGTGTGTTTACATTTGATACAAATTGGAAAGCATTCATTTCCATTTAAAATAATTATTTTGGCTACATTTCATTTTTTTTATAGCATTCGTATTTTATATGCTAGCTTGCCATTCTAAAAAAATTGTATAAAACTTTCAATAAATAAGCACTGACTGACTGATTTCTTTTCTACGCAAAGGTTATCAGTACGGTGTTTGGCTTGGTGCATGTGATCTTCAACAGGAGGGAACATTCATATCTGTCTCCAATGCAAAAGCCCTTCCCTATACCAATTGGATAAAGGGAGAACCAAACAATAATCTTGGAATAGAGCATTGCGCTTTGTACTTCGTTAAATATCGACGTTGGAACGATGGACATTGTAACCATAAAGTAAATTATGCTTGCAAGAAAATGAAATAAATTTGTCAATGCAACTTTGCTGTTATATCTTTTCTGAGGCATCAAATGCCATGCAGAATAAATGACACATTTTCTTCAAAAGATCGAAAGAACTAAAGGATATTTCCCCATGTGTAAATGATGTACAAATAATTTAAACAATTTTTCTTCAACTTATTTTTTTAATTTTATCACCATAATCTATTAAAAAATGGGAATCTTTTTTATTGATTTATATGGATGATGGCAAAATTATATAACAAAAATGAAAATCATTCTTAAAAAAATTTAAAAAAATATTTTAGAAATATAATTTTACAATATTTACAATTAACTATATATCAATTCAAATTAACTGCTTAAATAATCTGTCCTTAAAGGTATCGTGCAAAATCATAATCCTATAATGCACAGAAAGCAATGTTGTGTCTTTCATATTTCTTTACTAGTTGATAGCTAAAATTCAAAATGTTTGTAATAAAAAGCGATTACGGGCTATTGTACACGTTTTCAGAGGGCTCAGTATGCACATTTAACCCTAACTAGTACGGTAAGTCAAATAGTACAGTCTTTACTAAATTTGAAAAGCTAAATACAATATGATGGGGGAAATTATTAAAAAATATTGAAAAAATACAGATCTGAGTATAATGTAATGTTCATAAAATAAAAAATAGACATTATAAATCACAGATTTCTAAAACCTTTGAAAAATCTCAACAAATTGCTTTCGATATGCTTACAGTACAAGCTTGGTCAGTTTACTAAAATTAGTATCTTCTCACACCTATGTGTCATGATGTAGGGACCTTTTCTTTTATTATTCTACGTACCTGTATCTAAGCGTTATAATAGGAGCTAACAGACATCCTTTGTTAAATTATGGTCGTAGTCGCTTACGAAACAAACCAAATGAATGTGCATTCTACAGACGCAAATGTATGTCATAGTAAAACAAATTAAATATGTTTTGAAATATACTAATGGAACACAAAAAAAAAAAATATCAAGAAAAATTAACCTGTTTCATTAGGAATTAATTTTATATATTTATCCTATAATTTAGAACAGAATATAAAGTATTTGACTGAATGATTTTTACAGTTGATTGATTGATTGTATATTGTTTAACGTCTCTCTCGAGAATTTTTCACTCATATGGAGACGCCACCACTTGCCGGTGAAGAGCTGCAAATTTTATCCTATGCTTGGCACTCAGGGCCATTGAGCAGGGAGGGATCTATTTCGTGCCAACACCTACTGCGAATTGGGACCTCGGTTTATACGGTCTCATCCGAAGGACCGGTCTCCACGTCTTACAGTGGGATTCGAACCCTTGACGTAAGGATTGACTCCTTACTTCGCGACTCTAGTGCAAAATAAATTCTTTATTAGGTAGAGGAGTTTGATATCAACTGTAAAAATACACGAACACACCTTCCAAAAAGTATACACATGCGTCAATATTCCTGAAGAAAGTAGGTGGCGTTCATGAAATCAATATTTACAAATATATTAAATTGTCAAAGAAGGCTACAGTCAAGATACATGTATCCAAGTTGTACGTAAGTCTACGAAGACCATTTTTGACCAATTTGCAGATACTGCTTCTAAAGGATTAATAAGTTTAATACTGGCTTCAGAGAGCAACGGGCAATCTGATCCCTAACATTACAGTTCGAAACAGACTTAATGAAGTAACCATAACACAGATTTACTAAAGTTAACTAAAGTAAAAATTTTGATACTTTGATTTACTATGGAACTTTACTCTACATCTTTAAAAAAAAATTAGCCTTAATATTTTTTAAATTGTATACCAATGATGAGGTCGTTTGATAAAGTTTTAAGAATAAAAGAATGAATGTAATAAAATCATCTGATATGTATTTATCAAACTCAAAGAACTTAGTTTAAGTAAAATATTTCAAACTGAACCATTTTATATGTCTAACAAATAACCATGACCATTAATCGACAACTATTTATAAAACATGAGCACAATATACAAATATACATTCACAAACTATTAATGATGCCATTGACTTTATATTTGATTTCTATGCCTATTCATGATAACAATTTTCTTTTTGACATCGGATTCGATGCCAACTGACTTCCTAGAACTTTCAACAAAGAGTGAGATCGGACTTAATGGAAATGACTTTGTACATTTGTTTTTTAATCAATGACAAGATCTTATTTCCTAAATCACTTAAATCAAGTTTAATTGAATAAATTAAAGGCGTTTATACATAAAATTATCACGCAAGCCATTTGATTGATCATCGTCATGAAATCGAAAAATCTTAAAGTTATTCCTTATATTTACATGCTTTGATTCCGCCAATCCACGTGCTCAAAGCCCTGCTTCTGTCCATCTGTTTGTCCCGCCCTGTGTGTGTTTTTGGAACCGCCAATACATTGATAGGGAAATAATAAAAGTACATTTACAATTTGTAATTTTATCTTGGAAAAAGATATTGGAAATGTAAATATAATGAAATAAAATTAAAACTCACTTGTAGTGGATTTTATTGTAAAATGCCAGTGACTTAGATCCGCAAAACAGAACCACCACTTTACTCTCTCTCTCTCTCTCTCTCTAGGGCAATTTCGACGCTGTTTGAAATTTGGGAAATTTGAAATTTTACGCCTCTTATTGCTTTAAAAATAGATCAAGCCTTGAAATTCCAAAAGTAGGTCACCTTGAACTTCTTGCTTTAGTTAATCTGAGAAACAAATGTTTCAACTGACCAGGTTTGGCGATAAAGGTTACCGTATCTAATACAGAGTATACGGTTCCATAAGAATTTGCAAATAAAAAACTCTAAAACTTAAAATGTATTATGTCAGGTAATTATTTTGAATAAATACAGTACATATTGGGACCAGCAATTTAAAGTTATGTGGTGATATTGAATTACAACTACCTTTTTTGAAAATTTATCAATTCAAGCCCAAGATAATCCAGACAGCATTGTGAAAAGTTTATTATGTGTTATTTGTGAAATCATATTTGATTTGTGAAAGAAAAATACATGTAAATTTACCAGAGGAAATTAAACACCAGAACTCAAATCTTTAGCAAGGGTGAACGGGTACTACGTTTTAAAGGACACTCTCGAGGACTACCGTGCTACTGATAGACATTTCATTTCTATGTTTTTTAATTGTTTTGTTTTTTAAATTTACTTTTGTTTTGTTTATTAAATTTTGTTAAATTTTTTTTTTTGTTTCCCCCTCTTATTCAAGTTCTTTAAGTGTATAACCCAAATCTCAGCAGTATCACACTTTAACTTTGATCTAGAATAGAATAGAGCATTTCTGGATGTTTGGTTTTATAACAGAAAACGTTTGATACTTGAACATTGAAATTTGATAAAGCTAAATCATTTTAAAGAATACTAAACAGAATTTTTATGTGTCTAAATGTGCAATTGACATTAGACCTATGTAATGATTTTTCAAACATTGAACAGCTCTACCAGACAAAAAAAGTTTGATAGCATTACAGTAATGAGCATAATACAAATCATAAATATAAGATCAAAGCCTTCAGAAATTCATTGATGAGTGAATTTATTGAATATTCACTTGAATTTCAAATATTCCCACATATTTTAATGTAATATATATCTGTGTGAATACATGTCTATCATAGTAAAAAACTACAATATAGTCAGTATGATCAACTGTCGCTTGTATTACTACAATTTGTACGTTTCAAACGTTTTAAATTTCTTTAATTTTTTCAACTGTACTAGAGCTTTCAGGTTAAATTATAATCCATATAATATCACAACTTAAAGGCTTACAACTTGTATGTGCCTTCATCTGCTTCTATCAAGTACTCATCGCAGTGACATCTTTTGTTCAGGTTTGTAACCTTATTTGTCCTCATATGTTGTTGAAGTTGCACGGTGCAGTGAAAGTCTTCCAACAAATAACAATTTATAAGGTTTATAACCTGTATTTGTCCTCTTGGTACTTTGTGCCTCTGATAAATGCTCATTTCCTTCCTTTTGGTTGGATGCCTTCTCACACATATTATAGTGAAAATGTTTATTGCGTATGTGTCAACATGTGTCCCTGAAAGTTATTTAAATGCCTTAATTCTATTTCCATATTCCTCACTTGTATATAATGTTAATCACCAATATGTCTCCTCATGTGACTCCGTAAATGACGTAATTGAGTGAATGCCATCCAACATACGTCACATTCACAAGGGTTTCAAAGGTAAGGTTTTTCATTGCTATGTCTCTTAATGTGTTTCTGTAAGTTACATAATACTGAGAATTTTCTCCCGCACACATCACATGCGTAAGGTTTCTCGCCTGTATGTATCCTCATGTGCCTCTGTAAGTTTCCTGATACAGAAAACTCCTTTCCACACACATCGCATTTATAAGGCTTGTCACCTGTGTGTATCCTCATGTGCTGATTCAAAAGATGTTTTTCACTAAATGCTTTTTTACACAATTCACATACGTAAGGTTTATCATCACTATGTCTCTTAATGTGTTTCCATAAATTAGATAATTCTGAGAATGCTTTTCCACACACATCACATACGTAAGGTTTTTCACCTGTATGTATCATCATGTGCCTCTGTAAGTTTCCTGAAGCAGAGAATTCCTTTCCACACACATCACATTTATAAAGCTTATCACCTGTGTGCGTGCTCAAGTGTTGATTGAAAAGATGTTTTTCATGAAATTCTTTTACACACAACGTGCATTGGTAAGGTTTATCATCGTTATGTCTCTTTATGTGTTTCTGTAAGTTACATAATTCTGAGAATGATCTTCCGCACAAATCGCATTCATAAGGTTTCTCACCTGTATGTGTCCTCATGTGTTTCTTTAACGAGTCTGACACAGAGAATGCCTTCCCACAAACCTTACATTTATGTGGTTTATCGCCTGTATGTGTCCTCATATGTACCTGTAAAGCTGTAAATTGTTTGTATGCCTTTTCACACAAATCACATTTATGAGGTTTCTCGTCACTATGTACACTCATG